ATGCTGAAAGTCTAGAAACATGTTCTACTGTCACTAAACAGGAAGTTATGTGCAAATAAAGTGATTAATATTTTGCATTATAAATATACTGAATAAAATGTATGAAATTATAATTGACTCTAACCATTAAACTGAATTGTCAACTAGAGTGACTTGAAAGCTATCCAGGGGATTAGTAAAGCACACTTTTGGGTATGACTCAGTCCTGAAGGCATGACCTTGGAGTCTCTATATGGGCCTCACACCATCCTCTTTGGTGTAGTTCACCTGCTCTATTTCCTAGAAATCATGAAGTATGCAAATTTGCTCCCCCATGTTCTTCTGCCATGAAGCTCCTACCTGGAAACCAGCCAGCCACGGGCTGAATTTCATGAAACCATGAACCAGCCTAGTGTCTCCTTCATGTTTCAGGTGATAGTTATTCTGTCCCAGCAAAATGAAAGCTAACAGAAATAATTGGTACCAGCATAGAGATGTCCTTATTGTGACTCTAAGTGTTTCGGGAGCTTTTAGTATTGGGTTGGGGGAGAAGTTGGAGAGTCTGACTGGAGAAAATCTTGAAGGCTATAAGCAGAGCTTGATGGATGATTTTGTTCTGAGTTAATACCAGAACACTGATAGGAATATAATCAGTAAAGATCAGGCTCAAAAGATGTCAGTTAAGAATGAGGACTTTTGGGCCGGGGATTTAGCTCAGTGGTTTTGCCGCCTGCCTTGCAAGCGCAAGGACCCGAGTTCGATCCCCGGTACCAAAAAAAAACACACAAGAATGAGGACTTTTTTGGGAATTGGACCATAAATCATGCATGTTATACTGTGGTAAAAAGTATGTCTGCATTTTACTCATGTCCTCAGACTCTGATTTTATGAATGGTAGACTAATTGATCTAGCAGACGAAATTTTAAGGCAACACAACATATACAGGTTGTGGCATGGGTAATATTAGTTGGTTTTAGCCAGATGCATAGTGAGAATAGGAGCAAAACAACAGAGCCAATATATTTTAACAACTTAAATATTTACCTAGAAAGATCCAAAGATAAAATTGCAACCAATGAAGATATCATTGGTGAAGAGATCAGTGCAATTAAAAATATTTGAGCTGTAACAAAAAAAAAAGATGCCTCAAGGCATTGCAAGAATATGCAAAAAACACATCCATTGCAGGCTCAAGGTTACATAAGTCTAAGCATATCATTTGAGAAGAGAGCCACTGGAACCCCTGCTTGAAAAAAGCCACCTAGAAAATTGGTCCTCTTGGATTCATTTCGCCACCCCCAGCCATCTAGTCATTCAGAGATCACTGCAGCCATGGTCCACAGGGGTATGATTTTTGGCTCTTATTGGATGCAGACTTTGTCCATGCAATACTGTTTTTGTAGTCATTGAATACAAAAGTTGTGGGATCAATCAAGCTTCCACCCAGATTTCAAAGGATGGATGAGAGGCCAGTCAATGTGACCATGAAAGGAAGATACATGAACCGGTGTGAATGAAGCCAAAGGTGTGATAGATACCCCAGGAAGTTGAGAGTTCAGGCAGATGGAAAGACTCAGGATGAGAGCTGCAGGCAGCAAGTGGAACCAACCCAACCATGAATCTGTGTAGGTTGCAACTGATTAAGGCCATAGGGTGGGCCCATCCAAACCTTCTAAAACTTACACCTCATCACCACATGTCCTTGTTTCCAGACCTGGAGATCTTCTAGGTTTCAGTCTTCCTTTGCTCCAATTAATTTTTTCTATTCTTCCCTTTTGGAATAGTAAGGCATACCCTGTATCATTGTATTCTGGGATTAACTAGCTTGTTTGATTTTGTTTAGTTTAGTTTAGTTTTATTTTGTTTTGTTTACAGAGGTTCACAGCTAAGAATTTGCTTTGAGTCTGAGAGAAGACTGACTTTTAAACAAGGTGGAACTGTTAAGAATTTGTAGAATGAATTGCTAAATATTTGGTTATAAGCATGAATGTTGTACCATGCTCGGTGGAATTATGAACTTGCTACTGTCATTATTTGGAAAATAAGCATGATTTAAGAATTTGCATCTGGCTGGCCAAGTGACAAGGGGTGGATTTCAAACTTTAATCATGATTGGAAATTTGACTAGATTAATAAATGCCCAGCAGATTAATGAAGCACATTTCTGGTTGTGTCTTGGTGAAAAGTGGGGGTGTAACCTTGGTGACTATATATATTCCCTGTCCATTTCTTCTTTAGCACCGTGCCTCTGCCAGACTTCTTAGCTGCCATAGGCTAAGCAGGTTTCTTCTGCAATGCACTTCTACTGCACCAGTTTTGCCTTGAAGCCATCCAAGCATGAACTAAACTTTCTGAAACTATGATGAAAATAAGACTTTCCTAAGTTGAGGAACCAAGGTATTCCAGTGAGGGGAAATATGACTAATACATCCACTCAATTGGCCAACCTAAGAATGTTTGCTAATTCAAAAGAAAGGAAAAGTTGTTCCTACAAGCAATGTATATTTCTCTGTTTCATACCATGAAAAAGTAGTAAAGTTATTCTAAACATTTCTACTTACATTTGTTATTATAAACAAGTGGTATAGTAGGATCATTGAATTCAAGTAGCTTAATCCTAGAAATATTTATACCCCAAATCTAGTACTCTGTGTTGTTTTCCTGAATCTGCTCAGTATCTTCAGCAAAACTGAGACCATTGTATATGCAGTTTTGTTTGTACATGTACTCATCACTTGAGGCATTTGTAGAAATTAGTGTATGTAAGATGAACTTTAAGCAATTTTTTAAAGTTTAAAAATAGATTTGCTATAAAGGTGAGAAATACATTTCAGCTATGTAAAATTTATAAAGACTTACCGTAATATATTATGCTTTGAAATAATGTTTTTGCATGTTTCAAAAGGCTAGAAGAAATTATAGTGAATGTTTTTACCTTATAACGATAAATGTTCATATGTTTAACCTGATTTAAACATTGCACTATGTATACAGGCATTTAAACAGCACATGAAACCGAATTAATATGCACAATTTTAAAAATTGTATGTCAGTTAAAATTAAGTTGAATTTAACTTGAACGTTTTAATCAAACTTTTGAAATAAATTCTTCACTTAATGACTTACCTGTTTAATGATTGTTTGGATTTACTACTGAGGTACACTACTCGAACTTATGACCCACTACTCAGACTATGGCATGTTTTTTTATTGTAGTTTCATACATCTTGTTTATAAAGCATCGATTTCTATTTTGTATACTACAATATACCATGTTTATACTGTAATTTTTGCTGATTGTACTTTATAGTATAGTACTATAGCTTTATATTCTGTTGTACTTTATAGTACTGCATGTAAGAGTTATGCAAATAAAAGCAAAATCATCAAGTTGGAGTTTCCTTTTTCCTTTGACCATCTCTTTGTTTGGAATATTGTAATGTACATATCATATGCAAGTGCTCATTTAGTGATCTAGATGCAGGAACAGAACTTGGTCATTAAACAAGGAATTTCTGTATATAGCTTAATATTGTAATTGTAATTACAATCATTGTAAAAATATAATTTACTTTAATATGTAAATTCAATATATATTAGTTAGAAAATTAATCATTTTCAAATTTATTCAGGTTATAAGGAAACTAATATATGGCAAATATCATTCATCAGATTTACATGAATTAATTTTTAATGATTGCTTAATATATTTGTCTATGTGTCCAAGAAATCAGATGTGTTTGCAATGCTTGAAAAATCAGGTATATCACCTGTGAAATGTTTTAATCTTATAATAATCCAGTTCAAAGAAATACATAAGCCAAGTCTCTTTAGGAGTCATATTTCACAATTAATTTGCATTCTGATTTGTGATTGTTACTACCTATGTCACATGTCCATACATTTCTAAATTGGTCCAGTTTTGGATCTAGAGACAATGGAGGGTCTCTGTAAATTTTACATACATCTTTCCCTTTCTTAAAAACCATGAGTTCTAGACAATTGCAAATTAATAGCTTAAATTTTTAAAATAATTTGCATATTCAGAACCATTCTTATTTTGAAAAATGTATTTGACAATTTCAGAAGCAAGATTTGTGAACTATTGGAAAAGTACAGTGAATCCAACTTTAACCTGAATAATGTTTACAAGACCGTATAAGAATCATTTACAATTTCCATTATACTATAGTTGCATACTAAATTAAGATATGCCTATATTTATTATAGTCTTATTTTCTCACCTTTTTATAAAATTGAAAATAGAGAAAAACGTTGGCTTCTACTATTTATTTGTTGAGAAAAATCATTTCTGCCTTTGTAAATTTCAAATGGCCTGCAACTAAGTGCATTGGTAGAGGCAAGTGTATTTAAAATACATTATAAAGCAATTATATTATAAAAATTGGATATTAGTGATTATTTTAGAAAATACCTTATTGTATTTAAAAAAATTCTGTGTTATACAGAGAATTATATGAATTATGTTAGGTTACCATGTACTGGAGATGAGAAATTAGCTTAAAAAAGACAAGCTAATTTTAGTTCCATATTTTCAAAATGATAACATGAGTTCTAGATGGAGAAAATACGTGAAATAAACTGTGAAGTAATGACAATGTACTTCAAAGTGAGTGTCAATAATTTACTAGTGAATTTCTAATGTGGGCAGAGGATTTTATTTTTCATTTTAGGAATGTGAAAGTAGAAAACAAAATTTACATCTTTTTTAAATAAAAAGAAATGTATATTATTACATGGTACACACAACATAAAAGCATATATTTAGAGTGCATTTGTTAATATTCCCAAATGAGGTGAATACATAACAAAAATAATATACAGCATATCATATATTAATTCATAACTATTATGTGAATTATAATATATAATTAACTACATATTCTTTAGAACAAAATATACATGGAAATTATATATATGTTACATGCTATAATCTATAACATGTAATATGTTAAAGAATTGTATATTGCTCAAACTTTGGTAATTTCTTATTTCTTACCTGACCATACTCTGCATTTTCACAAACATAAGTCTCATAATATTGAGAGAACTCGGGAGCATGATCATTAATGTCAAGCACTTGTACATACACAGGGACTGAAGAGATTTGTTGTACATTATCTGAAAATTGAATTAAAAATAATGCTGGCTTTAAAATCATCATAAATCACATACAGTGCTATGTAGCATATTTTGATTTTACTTGATATAAGCTGAGGAGAGAATCTCTATATGTTTCACACATTTATTAATAGCGGGGCTTTAAAAAATCCTGTGTTCAACATGTTTGATTCAAGCAATCTTTTAGCACCTTGTACGCATATGGGCTATAAGTGATGAGAAAAATTAGGTAACAGGTAGACACACAAACTACTTGGAGAAGTCTAGGAACTGCTGAAAGTATTTGTATTAGTTCAGTTTTATCCTGATCTTTAGAGGCATTATTACCCTAACAACTGTGCTAATAGGAAACACTGAGAAATCATTTAGTATTAAATATTATGCCCAAGGTCATGGTGAAGTGTAAATAGATGATTAAGAAGTTAGTAATCAGTACTCTGAACTACTAAAAAAATTGGAGTATAGCTCTTAAAAATGAAAATGAATGTGGAATGTAATGAATATTTTTTGAGACAAATTTTGAATATATAGTTCAGGCTGGTCTTGAACTATGTTGTCCATTTTGTCTTCTAACTTGACCAAGGTGATACCCCTTGATCAGCCTTCTAAATTCAGGGATTTCTGGTGTACACCGCTACCCTCTACTGAATAAACTGTTTTTAAGTAAAGTGGCTATAGTAAAATGTAGGTGGGAATTATATAAACTTTAAGTCAAGAAATCCATAAATCATAAAGGAAGGAAGTTATGGTTAAGTACACTTTTTAATTGGGAAAATAATGTATTAAAAAATGAAGCAGCACTATGGAAAAATGTTTGCATTGTACGATAAAATATTAACCGTTCAAATTTTTAATCTTTAAAATTGATATAAAAGATTTCAGAAAAAGTATCAACTATAGAGTCACAAAACAGAGTATTCAAATGGTCTCATAGAGTATTTTTCAAATTTATCATCATTGATGTTTTGAGCAGAACAATTTTTTGCAGTAGGGAGCTAACCTGTGCATTGCAGAATGTTTAGTAGGATCACTGACAACTAATCAGTAAATGCTAAATGTATACCTTTGCCACTTGTGACAATCAAGACCATCTTTAGATATTGTCAAATAGACTCTGGAACTTTTAAAATTTATCTTAACACTTGCATTTATAAACTAAGTATGATTTTGTTAATAGGAAGGCACTATATACCCTCTTTTTCTTTAAGCATTTGGCTAATAATCTCATTTTCTTCTGTTTCTTACAAGAGTATGCAAATCTTTTTAAAATTTACATAAGCCTCTTCCTAAGGTTACAACACAAGGTTGTCTCTCCTCTAGTACTGGGGTCCAACTTTTGAAATGTAATCACCCAGGGATATAAAGTCCCTATATCTAAGTTTCTATGAAGGATAGGGGCTAATTTCAGCAAATATTTTGTTTCAAGTCATTAAATTATTTCTTATCAAAAACATACAAATAAATTAGTTTTCCTTTGGATAAATCAATTAGAAATCAGAACAGATCACCTCAAATACCCAGTTAATTCAATATGAATTATGTGAAAAAAATGATGGCAAATCTTTTTACTTGAGATGTAGATGTTTGTTTATCTTGAACACAGTTATGCAATGGGTTATATCTTGCTTTGTAAAGGAGATTTTTTTTTCTTCTTTTAGAATTTGTTAGTGGATTTTCTATGAAGCATATGACATTTGGGGATTAATGTTTTCAATAATGGAATAATTTTCTTTCTATGCTACCTTGATAGACAGTTTTTCTGAGTTGGGATTATTTTTTTAATTATACTACTGCAATAAAAAAACAGTTGCACTTATACTGAAAACTGAGCTTTTCAATTAATTAAAAATGAATATTATACACATATTTTACACATAAACTCTATAGCCCTTATGAAATACAAAAACTGTTAGGGAATGCCATTTTGATACTCTTTCTATTGTGTTACATTTATAAAAAAAAAGACTTCAAGATGGTATTCTTGAGAAATGAAAGCTGAAATTTGTTGTGATTTAAATACAAAACATCACAACAAAACAATTTTTGCTTCAGTGAGTAAAATGGAGAATGTATTTCAGATATGAATAAATTGAAAAACTCAATAGGAGGGTCATTAAATCATTTATAAACTTGTATGATTGTATAAAACATATACAGTAGTACCTTGGTTTATGAACTTTGTTTTAAGTCTTTGGTGGAGATGGCTGATTTTATGCTTGTTTGGAGAAGATGTCCTTGGTTGATTTTTGTCATCTTATGTGGAGTTTGTCAACAAAAACATAATTTTGCTGAACGCTTACCGAATTGTTTGCAAACAGAAGAGTTCATGAACTGCGGTCTTAATGTATAGGTATATTTACAGCTTCACTTCAAGGAAGCATTTTATTCACTGAGCAGCACACTGATAAATGGTTTGGGCTTAATTTAGGAAGCTTTCCAAGAAAGAGACTAAGCACACTGAACTTCATTTGCTGAAAACACAAATGTTAAAAATGGATCACCTCTTGGCAGGAATCAGCGTTGTTTTATGTCACAAACATTTTGCAATATTAATCACATGCAGAAAATGTTTTCTGAAATGATTTTATGTAATGTCCTCTTTTCCTCTGGTTACATGGTTTGTTTTTAGTACTTTTAAGGGTAAAATGTTCCAATGTATAATTTCTGGTACTTATATTATGGTACTAGGATGGTGGTGTTTATACATGTTTCTCCTAAAGAGATCTAAAGGAGATTTAATACTGTGGATTGTAAACAAACTCAAAAGACAAAATATTCATAGACCTACTAGTCCCCTAGTTTTATTAAAGCTCTTTCTTGTTGGCTCTTCCTAAAAATGAAAAAAAAAAAAAAAAAAAAACAAATGAAAAATGTAACTTTAGAGTGATGAGTAGAAGATATCTTGTAACTCAAAGGATTCTTTTGTTTTTGTTTTATTTTACAATGTTGAAATGTATTTTTCCACTCAAATGGCAGAATTACAACAAAACATATTTCAATATTTTTTTTCTAGAGATCTTTTCATAGAATGGCATTCATCTGATTAAAGAAATATTCTATTAGTGGTAGAGTACAAATAAATTATCTGACAAATTCTATATCATTCATTCCTCTCTTTTTTATTCATAAAAGATTAGAGGATTTTAGATCTCAAAGTACAAATTATAAATTTTAAAGATTCTAATTTGTAACAATTTTCTTTGTCATGAATCTAATTTGAGACAGTAAATCATGTCTTTTACAAAAAACATCTAATGTGTAAAGGTAAACGTAAAATGAAGTGTTATTTCTACAAATTCAACAAAATACAATGTTCTAATAGCTGAAAGCTATTTTACAGAGAAATATATATACACTTTTTTTTTCAAAGACACCAAGTCTTCCCTTGAACTGATTTAAATTCTCTTTCACAATAGATTTGTAAAGAGTGACATTATAAATAATTTGTTCTTGGAAATGAGCAATGAATAAAAGCTTCTTGGTCTTAGAATAAACATCTTTGTGTTTTCTGACATGAAAGACTTGGCATTTTTTTCTGCTGCACCAGGCATTTGATTCATGGGCCACCTTGGTGCCCCATCCTTTATTGTATAGTTAGAAAATTTAAAATCTAAACTCATGCCCCATGCCATGTTTCCACAGACCTTTTCAATACACTGCAAAAAACATTTCACCTGCTACCATGTCACCTGCTAACCATTCAACTCAGTGAGCAATAAGATAGATACATGCTCAATACCTCCAAAAGCCAAGAAAGCCAGGAAAATTTAGAAATTCTATGCAAACTCAGCTATGAGAAAGTATCCAGTTCAGACGGGTTCATATTTAATGCTTTAACTAATTCTATTGACTAATGAGATGACTTTGACAATATTTTATATCCTTTTATGCCTATTTCTTTAAGCTTTAGTTAATATGAATGCTAGAATAATCGATTTGTAATTTCAAGAACAATATACAAACCATAAAGCATATAATTTTATCTGCCATTATAATGCTAAGAAGAAGTCATCATTCTATCACTAAAACAAACAAACATCTGGTCACTACTGACTAAAGCTGAGCTATCCGCACAGCTAAAACTATTAGTTTAATTTGAAAAAGAAATATTGGTTTTGTGATATACAAAAATGAATGTTATTCCAATTCTTGATGTTCCATGCTGCAATTATACCAAAATATGGTTTGTTTTAAATGCATACATTTTAAATGGTTAATTTAGGGTATTACTTTCCTTACTCTGCAATGTTAACTCTACCACTTTATTCTGAATCAGAATACAGCACAGATATTCTGTGTTTGGCTTCTATAATAGTCACTTATGATTTGACATTCTAAGCTGCTTATGATTAAAATAAAGATTAAATTTAGAATTTCAAGTTTCATGTGATTTCATTACCATTTTCAGAGTAGTTAATTTATAAAATAACAATTGTCTAAATTGAAATTTAGGAAATGTACTACTATGAAATAAGTATCATAGTTTCTCTTCATCTTTACCTGTTAATTATGCTAAATAATTGTACAGAAAATGTACAAGACCTTTTCCCATTAAATTCATAATATGAAAATGAATCTACAGAGCATATATATTTTAAAGATTCAAAATGAATATTTAATTTATTGATATGATAATATGTCTATGAGACAGGTTATAAGAACACATAACTACATAATGACGATGTTTTAAAATTGAAGACGATTTTGTTTTCCATCTTGTGTTTTCTTCCATTTATTTTTGTCTTCGCTTTCAGCACTTACTGTTATAATAAGGACAGTTGATAGAGTATTTAGAAGTAACTTTGTCAGTAAAGTCTGATAAGAGTAAACACTAATTTATGATCTAACAAAATAGACATGTAAATGACATTTCATATAAAGTATTATTTAATTCTAATTTCGACAACATTTGAAAATATCATTACCTTCACACCTAAAAATTATGGCATGGTTCAAAAAATAGACTGAGCACTGTTTGATTCCCAAGGGAGTGCTTACCTCTTTCTGTGGCTGTGACACTTAGGTTGTACCAAGCACTGATCTCCCGGTCAAGTTGGTCAGTGTTGATGACTGTACCATTGTCGTGGACACTGAACACTTTGCTTCTGGTAATAGAGTATCTAAGCACAAAGGAAAGTATTCCCTAATGTCATTTTTCTTTCATAGTAACTATATATGTATATATAATAAATACATATGTATGTATGTGTATGTTTAACACTCTTTTTAAACAATAAAACAAATTGTTAAATGGTTGCTTTACATAGCTAATGCGATGCACAACAACTGTAACACCCTTGCATTTATGTATTGAAGATTCAACTTAGCAGATAAGAAAAGAAAAACTAAAATGGCAATAAATTTAAATTGACCTATGTTAAATCTTAACACGTTTTACTCATTCCCATGTCCAAGAGAGAAAATTGATATATGAACGACTTGGTAAAAAGAAATGATCAAAGGACTTTTGAAAAGTGAATTACGAATTAGGAATGTTAAAAATGAATGATTGTCAATTTTTAAATTTTCCTTTCAATCAAATAAAGCATATTCTCAATCTAGACTGCTAGTGGTCTCTTCCCTATACCACATGCATTGTTGTGCATTATATTACAATTAGTTCACTGCTGAAAAATAACATATGTTGCTTTTGTTTGTATAAATAAAATAATTAGATAGTGTTTGATAAAATTAAATTACCTTTATGTAGCATATTAACTTAAAATTATTCCAGGAAATACATATTATTTTAGATGTCAAAAATACTTTAGATCTATTATGTTACTTTCATACATGCATATTGATTTTACATATATATATAAAACACACCATGCATGGAAAAAAATACCCTCCTGCAAAAGTGTGAAAAATAATCTCAAATCTACAATAAAAGATGCATTTGAATTGCTCAGCATGTTTCATCAGCTTGCAAATGATTAATAATAAAAATTAAAGAAGTTTAATAAGTAGGTTTCAGTGATGACTTCTTTCAAATATATTTCTGAAGACTTTCATGATAAATCAATGAGATTTTCCATAATTATGTGGCAAAATGAGAATATTTTAATATTGAATTGACACAATTCTAAAAATATTACACTAAGTTGTAGCTTAGTGTTGAAGAGAATATTAAAATAGAACGCAACTTTAGAGGAGTTCAGGTATAATATATTTGATTTTAAACATTTAGAAGAATTTTACTTAAATATCTGCAAGTGGTCACCTTTCCCACCAAATAATTTTGTTGGCAAAAATTAAATAATATTTTAGCAGTTGCTATTTTGTATTAAAAATCTAATCTTGTTTTCATAAAACACAATTCCAATTAAAGCTGATACAGGGCTTGATATATAGTTTCTCAGAGTTAATAAAAATCTGTTATAAATTAGGAAGAAGAACCAAGGCCACAAGTCTGAATCCTACTAAAATATTAAAATGGAAATCAAAACATATGTAGGCCTAGAGGAAGAGCACTTCATGTGATAATAGCAATGATATGCAACATGCATTATTTTCCTTGTTTCCTGCTAGAACAAAAAATTACAGTTATGCAAATATTTTTCCCTCACTCTACTTTTACTCATGAAATATACATGGCCTTGAATTAAGTTGTACTTAACTGACTTATATTGTACTAAATTGTAATTGTATTTTCTCTTCACTTCATGTTTTTAAAATTAGAAAACAGACATGAGAAATCATCTCAGACACATTTTTTATTAGTAATTTTCTCACGAGTTGACTTAAAAACATTTTGAAATAATTTTAATCATATATAACTTTTGAAAATCAGTATACCTGGGAGAAGAGCATAATTCCTTGAAAAATATCCTGTATAAATAAAAGTATTTTTATTGTATCAGAGATAACAAATTAATTATTGTAATTTTATTAACAAGACTACAAATTAAAGTTGGATTTAACCAGTTTTTCAACGTCAGCTCTTTGCCCTTTTCATGATCAAATCCAGAAAATCATTTTGCATTTTATTTTCATGCCTCCTTAGTCTGCTCTACAATATCTCAGTGTTCTTGACTTTCATATCTTTTCTGTTAATGAAAGTATTGAGAGACTGTTAAGTGTTGTTGCTCAGTTCATTTTTGTCTTTTGCTTAGATGAAGATTGTAAATTTTTTGTAAAATTTGGTACAATTTGTACGTTTTGGTACATATTTGGTAAGTGTGGTGTCCTTGATGGATCATAGGGGTATATTAGGGGTACATGATATTGACACTGGGTTTTCAATCGTGATACTAGCCTTGGTCACTTGATTAAGGCAGTAGATGAGATTTCTCCACAGTAAAATTACTGTCTTTGGTTTTACAATTAATAAAATCTCAAGATATTTTGAAATTTTCTGATTTCTTCTCAAACATGCACCTACTGATTTTATTATCCAGAGAAGAACAATGACTATACTAATTACCAATTTGGGACCCTTCTGGGACACCCTACTACTGCCACCAGCACCAAGGAGCAGAGCTGCCCCCAGCTCAGAGGAGGTGAACCTTCTGGGTCACAATACCACTGGCCCCAGGACTGAGGAGGTAAGCTGCACAGGTGCCAGCCGCACATATGCCTCCCTCCCCTCCCTCCAGTGAAATGAGAAGACACATAAACAAGCCTCAAAACCAGACTTCCAAAACACCTAAAGCAATCTGAAAAGGAAATGGATGGGACAATCTGATACTCAATCACCTGGAGTCCCTGAACTCCTAACAAAAGAGGATCAGGAAAAAAATGAAATCAGAAATAATTTCTCAGATAACATCAGAGATTGTGCCCATAGTGCAAGAAATAATTAATAAATCTAGAGAGGACACATGAAAAAATAGAAGAGCTGAAGAACATGATGGAATCCCAACATAGAAAACAAATGGAATCCATAAAACAGAATCAAACAGATTTCCAGGAGATTAAAAACTCCACTTAAAGTTTACACAGCAGAATGAGCCAATGTGAGGACAGAATTTCAGATATAGAAGATAAGATTGGAATTAGTGATCAGGAAATGAAAAATTTCTTTAAAATAGTAAGGGACCGTGAGAAATCAATCCAGTACCTGTGGACAATGCAAAGAAGAAAACATAAGACTGATTGGAGTCAATGAGGAAGCAGGAGAGAGTGCAGATGACATAAAAAAAAGTGTTCACAGAAGTGATGGCAGAACACTTCCCAAGCAGGGGAAAACAACTTGACATAGAGATAAATGAGGCATATAGGACTCCAACTAACCTTGATCCAAAAAAAATCTACATATAGGCATATAGTAGTTAAGATTCCAGAAACCCAACAGAAGAAGAAAATTCTACAAGCAGTTAGAGAAAAGAAACAAATCACAAACAAAGGAAAGCCTATCAGAATAACAGCAGACTTCTCAGTGCAAACCCTGAAGGCAAAATGAGCTTGGAGTGATGTATTTCAAGCCCAAAGGAAAACAATCTCCAACCTAGATTGATGTAAATTGCAAAACTTTCTTTCAAAATTGATGGAGAAATAAGATACTGTCATAACAAAGAGCACCATAGGAACTCCATGAATACCAAACCAACACTCCAAAATACTTTAGACAATATCCTAAGAAAAGACAATGAGGATTGTAACCCCAGGAAGCCCTGCAGAATGCATCCATGGGGCATGACAAGAAACTAAATGCAAAGAGGGAAAAATCCAACAAAAAGAAAAAGTCATGACAATGATTAGTCAGTTTGTATCAGTTATAACCATCAATGTTAATGGTCACAATTCACCTATAAAAAGAAATACATTGGCAGAATGGGTCAAGAAGCAAGATCCAACAACATGCTGCATACAAGAAACACACTTATTTCCAAAAGAAACTCAGACTGAAAGTTAAAGGGTGGAAAACAATACTCCATGTGTCTATGGGACACAATGAAAGCAGTCATATGAAGGAAATTCTTAGCAGTGAATAGTCATATTAGGAAAACAGAGAGAGCCCAATTAAACAACCTGATGCTGAACCTCAAGCTTCTAGAAAAAGAAGATCAGAACAAATCCAAAGCTCATACAAGGGAATAAATTATAAAGATCAGAGCAAAAATCAATGCAATGGAGACCAAGAGAATGATATAAAAAATCAATGAAGCCAAGAGTTGTTTCTTCCAAAGAATAAACAAAATTGACAAACCCTTAGCCAAACTTATCAGAAAAAGGAAAGAAAAGGCCCAAATCCATGCAAGTAGGAATGAAAAGGATGAAATTACAACAGACCCAGCAGAAATCCAGAGGATCATCAATACCTACTTCGAAAACCTATATGCCAATAATATGGAAAACACAGAAGAAATGGCCTGATTCCTAGATAAGTATGAATTACCAAAGTTGAACGAAGACCTAAAAATTCTAAACAAATCAATGTCAATCAATGAAATTGAAAACATAATTAAAAACTACCAACTAGGAAAAGTCTGGGTCCTGATGGCTTCACAGCTGAATTCCTCTACAAGACATTTAGAGAAGAACTGCTGCTGCTACTGTTTAAACTCTTCAATGAAAGTGAAAGTGAGGCAATACTCCCAAATTCATTCCCAGAAGCAAGCATCACTTTGATCCCCAAAGCAGAGAATGACCCAACCAAAAAAAGAGAACTATAGGCCAATCTCACTAATGAACATAGATGAAAAAATCCTTAATAAGATACTGGCAATAGAATGCATAAGATCATACACCCTGTCCAAGCCGGATTCATGCCAGAGATGCAGGGATGGTTCAACATATGCAAATCAATCAATGTAGTGCACTATATTAATATAGCCAAGGACAAAAACCATGCAGTAAACTATAATCAAAATGGATTAAAGATGTAAATATTAAGAGAGAAACACTAAACAAGCTGGAACAGAGGTTAGGTAGAAGTCATGAAGACAATATTTTATGAACAAAACCTCAGCTGCCCATAAACTAGCATAAATAATCAACAAGTGGGACCTCTTCTTATAAAAAGCTTGTGTGCAGCAAGAGAAACCACCAACAGTGTGAAAGAGAACCCACAATGTGGGAAAAATTTTTCACCAACTTTCCCTCAGACAAAGGTCTGCTATCTAAAATCTTTAAAGAATTTTTTAAAAAATCAGACCTCCCAAATTTAAAGACTTAA